CTGCGCTTCTTCCGCGCCGCCTTGAACATCGCATTAAGGGTCGCCTCGAAGGCGCTGTTCTTTGAGGCCCAGCTGCTGGGCCGCATTAATCTCTTTAGACGCTTCGGAGATATTGTGCTGCGCTTCGCTCGTGTACCAGCCTCTCTGCCCTCGTGCGCACCTCGCCAGCGGCGCGGTCTCAGCAGCGGCCGACATCACCGTAGCCGTCAGCTCGTCGGTGGTCTCTCCCGTTGGCCGCGTGAGCGCCGTGGGCAGAGGGCGGCTGGAGGCCCTGTTTTGGAAGGCGACCCGTAGGTGTCTGTCCTTCCTCAACCGCTCGAGGTCGATACGGATCCGGCTGCTTCCGCTGTTCCCCCGCACTCGTCGGTTGGGTGCGACACGGGGGGGGAGGCGGACAGTCGTAAGCACGAGGTACTGGTCAGAGTCTTTGAAGTCGACACGTTTGACGGAGACATTACGCACGAAACGCCGGTCCGTCTGACGCATGAGGATGAAGTCGAGGCGGTACTTCTCCTTCCCCTTGTTGGAGCTCTGGAATGTGTGCTGCACTCCACCTTTCGGTGTCCGGAAGTAGGTGTTGGTCAGGGAGAGTTGGTTGTCTGACGCCAGTCCAAGGAGTCGTTCCCCGTTGTTGTTCATAATGTTGCGTCCGTACGCGCCCATAATCTTGGCATCGTAGCACCCCTCTCGCCTCCTACCAGTGCGTGCGTTGGCGTCCATTAGCACCTTGAGATGGTCACGGCTGTGAACCTCCCGGATCGCTGCGTCGAGGGCAGTCAGTCCAGAAGGAGTTCTCGGCGTTAGCATCACCGCCCGCGGTGGTGCGGACAGTTTTCGTGGGGGCGTATCCCACCACGAAAGTTACTCCGTAATTGCGGCCAATTTGTAGACGCACCTTCACCAGCCTCGGGCTAATGCACTCCACCGTCCTACCTTCCTCGCCCACACTCTCCCACATGGTCTCCTTGATCGCTATGCCCACACCGTGTACGCCCCTCTTGTCCTTGGTGCCAGCACGGGCGCCACTCCAGATGATCACGTACCCGTCGTGTGCAATTGAACCTTGCCCCTCTCGTCGGGTCTCCTGAAGTCCTATCACATCACAGCCAGTCGCTGTGTGACCACGGGTTGGAGTAAACGGCACTATTAATAGTGCCGTGAGCGCTGATTTGAGGTGAAGACAAAAAAGAAAAAACTCCAACCCGTGTTCACGCAGAAGGGTCTTTCCCTGAGGCCACTACCCACCCCTCCTGCGGTATTTTTCCTTCGAGTTTTTGTGTAGTGCGACAAGAGTGCTGCACTCTGTTCCTTCTGTGTGTACCAGCTGGGGTACACACTAACATTGCCCAAGGAGCTAACAGAGGACTACATTTGCGTATATAGAAGAATACTATACGAGAAATAATGAGAGGGGATCCAGAATCCAGCAGGTATCTACCATAATACCAACAATATGTGCTTCGAAGTACCAGACAAGGTCACCAGAAAGCCGGTCATGGTCGCCAGATACCGGTATCTCGCAGCACGCTTATTTTTTACCATCAAGTCGGTGGAACGGACCACATGGTATGACTCGACGTACACGTGGTACAAATGTTTGGAATGCAAATGCATTTGAAGTACTTCCACTATTCATCTGTGTCGGATACATTCTTAGCACCGTTAGCATGAAACAACCTTCCTCGCTCTGTGGGACCTCATCTCTTGGGGGCGGGGAACAACGAGAAAAAGAATGCTTGGGGTTGTGCACTTGCACCAACAAGTACACGACGATTCCTTCGCACAGAAACAGCACTGGTAATGTACCCTCCGTCTGTTGCGGTCTCCTCAGCGAGAAATTGATAGAACCGCCCACCGAACCGCTCTCACGGCGGCAGAATGTTTGATACCGAGTGCGTCATTCCCCTGGAGGGCATCTATCTTTCACTCAACTCCTTTGACGTGCCTCCCTCCCCTCCCTCCCTCCCTCCCTCCCATTCGCCCCACAGGACCAAGGCGAATGCCTGTACAGCGTTTGCGTGACGGCGGAGTGGAAGGGGGAGCTGTTAACGTACACCGTCGTAGTGGAACACGCGGAGCCCTCCGCAGCGCACACTGTCCTAATTGAGGTGAGGCTTGTACCAGGACATTTCATGCCTTCCAGTGTAGGATGAAAGCGGCCTCGTCAGCCATGCTTCGTAGAATTTCTATGAGCCAGCGGGGGGTGGGGGGAGGGGGGTGTACTCATAGTCGTGCATGCCGTAGTCGTTAGACCATTGACCTCGCATCCCTACAAAGCCGGGACGGAGCACGCCGGGTTCTCACCGGACCAGGCTCTCACATCACCAAGCGCGAAGCGCCGTGAGATATTCGGCGAGTCGCATGAAGGGTGCGCTGCATCCTGCTAAGGGTGTTCGGCATCTTGTGCTTACTTCCTTGCGTACGGATGACAGCTGCGTATGAATTAATTTACTTTCTGGTGCTTTCACTCTTCCTGGCAGTTGTAAGCACTGTGTAACTGCCTCGAGGGTGCTTGACCATTTTAACAC